TCGCAGGGGCTGCGGCCGCGTCTCCCCAGGAGGGGTCGCACCGGCCGGGGGCCTGGGCTCTCGCTCTCTGTACACTCGTGCACGACGCCTGTCAGCAGTGTCCGGTCTCCAGGAACACCTGTGGGAAAGGAGACAGCGGAAATCTGACCATGGTTCTGAGACCCTGATGCTCCCGAGCACCCCACTCGGAGCAGTGTCGGAGCCGTCCTTCCTGCTGCTCCGGCCCCAGCGCAGGATGCGGGCACTGGGCCGACTGGAGAAATGGTGCAGCCGCAGCTCTCCACCCTTCCCGGCCCATGGGCTGCTCCCTCCTGCCCCCGCCCTGCAGTTAGGGTCACCCCTGCTCCCTGATTGGGTGGGACAGCGCCCAGTTAGGAACCGCAAATCCCGGTCCTGGGGTGCATGACCCGGGACAGCGTTTGTCCCAAATTCAGTGTCTAGAGGGAAGGGAACCCGTGCAGGTGGGCAGCATGCAGGTGTGCAAGGGGCTGGTGGGAGCGGGATGCAGGGGCACCAGGGCACTCACACACCTGCACACAAGCACCCGGCGGTGAATACAGAGGGAAAGGTTGGAGAGCAGGTCCCTACAGGTTCGTGGGCGGGGGCGGGGAGGTGTAGGGGGCGGTGTGGTGTAGATGGAGGCCCCACGGGGAGCGGAGCTGATCACTGCCCCAGGACAGGGCTGGGGGTGTCTGGGCTACACAGCGCTGATCCTGCTGCCTCAGGCAGGGCTGGGGCTGGAGGTGCCCCTGCGGGTCCCTTCCCACCCCTGGCTCAGGGATTTGGGGCGAGGAACCCAGGTGTCCGGGAGCAGGCAGGGAGCTGCTTCTGCTGCTCTCTGCCTTTTTTAACACTTGCTCCCCTCCCAGTGCTGGGGATACTGGTGATGCTGGGGCTGTCTAAGACATCAGGAACAAATGGGACACCTGTACAGAAGGTCCACACCCTGGTGCCTTCTTCCAGTCCCTGTAAAGACTGGGGAGGCGAGGAGCTGACAGCCCGGATGCCTGGGTTCTCCCCCAGCTCTGGGACAGGAAGGGAGACTAGCTGGCTGGAGCAGGGGGAGTTGGGCCCCTTGGTTCAAGGGGGTGACCCCATTATACCCAGCCCCCAGTGCCCACCCCAGAGCCAGCCACATCTTAGCCCCGTGCTGTACACGGTCCCAGTGCTCCCTTACCTGCTGGGATGGGTCTCGCCTCACGTGCTGTCTGGGGGGTGCTGGGGGGTCCACGTCTGCCTGAACTCTCCCCCTCCTTCCATCTCCTGAAGTTCCCTGGTCCTCTGAGGTTGCGGCAACTTCTTCATTTCTTCCACAGCGACCGACCATGCAGGGACCATTTCCGACCTCTCCAGCCATCCATCCCTCAACTATTCAGCCTGTTTCAAGAAGACCCGGGGGGGGCAGGTGGTCGCCATAAAGGCAGTACAGGTATGCACGCAGGAGAGAAACGGGTGGGTGGTGTGACTAGCTCTGGGGTGGGCAGTCACGGCGAGGTATAACAAGGGGCTGATCTCCTGCAGCCTCTGGGGTGAGCACCAGGCTGGGTATAACAGGACCCTGGTGCGGCCATCTCTGGGTGGGTGCCCCTCCTGGCACCATCTCAACTTCTTCCTGCACGAGCAGGGGTGGGGATGGGTCTCGGGTCTTCCCCCCTCTGCTTTCAGCCCCCAACCCCACCACAGACCCCAGTGCACCCAGTCTGGGGGGAGGTGTGCGCCCCCATGGGCCCTGCCTCTGCCCTGCTCTGTGCCCCCCGACCCGCCCCGGGCCCTTAGTGCAGCTCTGGG